CCCCCTCCCCTTTCTTCTACCACCACCCCCATCCAGCAGCAGCATCACCAGCGTATTGTTTTCCTCCTCTTAGACTCGTCGCTACGTCATGTCCGTGGCAGAACCGATTACAGCCCTCCTCAGCGGGAACACCGAATTATCTCCCCGTCCCCGTCGCACGCGCTCCTTGGGTGCAGCCGCGGGTTGAAGATTTTGACAACAAGGTTGCACTTTGTCGCCTGACAGACACGCTGTTGCTCCCTCCTCGCCTCTCCTCACACTTTACACCCGCCCGGTGGCGACACGTTCACACCATTATTCCCTTCTCGGATTCGTAACGCTACCGACTTGAACCTTTCAGCGCGAGGCATTAGTTCACGTCTGCGCCGTTGTCACACCTGAGGCGCTCACGCTTGAACCCGCCCCAAGCGCGGCGCAAATCTCCACCGCTACGCAAGACGAAAAAGAAGTGGAAACAGGCGAGAAGGAGGAGCAGTCGACTATTCACCACTCCAGTCTGGAGCAAATGTCGGGGAGGTGTAGCATAGCATGTCAAAGCCTGTGTGTGCAGGCTTAGTTGGATGCCATCATAACCTCCGTTGCTGTCGTAGTTGACAGAGTCGCCAGTGGTCAGTCGTGCCAATAATCCCCTGCCGCCGCCGCCGCAAGGTTGTGTGGTGATAAAAAAAATGAGGACGAATGGTTTTACTCAAGGAACATATCAAGATTCCTTAAACTCCAACAACCACCACCAATATAATAATGAATTTTCTTCTCATCTCAATCTCGACTCCTCCAACAATTCTTCCTTTTCGAACTCCATGTCAGACAAGGGGTATGAAAGCTACAATGACTACTTGTACATCACTGATTTGGAGAATTTCTCTTTCGTTGACGAAGCCGGAATTGAGATCGACATCGGTAACGCTACCATTGAAGAACTTTTCACTTATGACTACACATTCAACAACACGTTTGTTCCTGAACATGAGCTCATTTCTTGTGGCAGAAAGATTGCCTTGATCTTTTTTGGACTTTTCTTCCTCATTGGAATCGCGGGTAACATGTCGGTGGTGTACATCGTGGTCCGGCACGTCCAGATGCGTGGCGTCACTTATCTGTACCTGGTGAACCTGTCCGTGGCCGACCTGCTCTTCCTGCTGGTGTGTTTGCCTCCCCTGAGCACCAGCTACGCCACGATGGGCTGGCCCTTCGGAGGGGTCTTCTGTGAGTAGATTTGTCTATTTAATTTACTTCAAAGTTACTCTTCGTTGATCTTTCTCCTTATTGTCTTTATGTCCACAGTTGTTATTGCCATTGTTGTTATTGTTGCTGTTGTTGTTGCTGCTACTGCTGCTGTTGTTGTTGTTATTATTATTGTTGTTGTTATTGCTGTTTTATAGTTGTTACTCTCGGAGCAACAGTAAAAGGCGCTCTGGTGTGGTTTGCTCACTTCTGTCAAAAATCTATTTTCCCTATGTGCTCTCTTTTTCTTCCTTTGTATATTGTCTCTACTTAAACCTCTGATCTTCGGCACTTTAATGAAGTATTTGTATTGTAAGTGCAGTAAAATTAAATTAAAACTAAAGTATCTGTGACCAACCTGATAACGAAGAGTGGTACTGTACAGCTGTATCTTGCGAATACCTCGGCTTTTCTGGTGGGATGTTGTATCCCCCCTTCCCCCCTCAGTCCTGTTTGCCTCTGACAGGCAGAGTCGAAGTCCCCCCTCCACCCCACCCCCCCGCATTTAATTCGATTTTAAATTGGGTAGATGGGGCATGGAATCACCTATATTTAAAAGAATTTTTTGTGTGTGGCAGCAGGTGCTGCTGATTTATTTGACAGTCTAGTCGGGAATAGAAAAGTTAAAAACCTTTTTTAGGACAAAGAGAGAGAGAAATAGAGAGAGAGAGAGAGAG